CTCCAGGGCCTCCTAAGGTCCTTTTCAGTTCTAAATCTATGACTCTAGATCTGAGAAACTCATATATGTGAGTATTCATTAATTTTTATCTTTACAAATCCTATCAGAATTTTCATTATATGAACTTCATCCTTCTTGATAGGCAGAATTAAAGTTCCCTGAGGGCAGGTAATGGTTCATCTATGTCTTTGTATCCTCAGTCCCAGGCACATAGTAGGCCCTTAATAAATGTTCATTAAACTGAATTATATTGAAGTTAGCCCAGATCTGTCAGAGTTGTATAACGACATCAAATTTTAGCTCTCAGAGCATCATTGATTCCCTTCTGTCCAGGCTTCATTTGGCAAACTGTGAACAGAGAGTGACTTTGGGATACATGGAGCCATCAAGGTCAAGAGACCACCTCTTCCCTGGCTGGACCTCCACGGGGCTGTCATAACACGCTTCCTCGCCTTTCCACAAGATATAGAGGAAAGAGGTCTAACTTCCAGATAATAAAAGTGGTGCAATGGGCTGAACTTGAAACCTGGGGTCAGGAAGACCTGAACTTAAATTCTTCCTTAGACCTTTCCTAGTGTATGATCCTGGGGAAGTCACTTAGCCTCTCAGCCTCATTTTCTGCATCTATAAAATGAGGAAAACCATGGCACTTACCAAACAGGGTCTTTATGAGGATCAATTAAAAAAATGTATGTAAAGGACTTTGTAAATCTTAAAGTAAGTGCTACACAGATGCTAGTTATAATCATCATCATCATCACCATCCTCATTACTGAAGGTGGAAGGAAGGATGGCAAACGTGTACCTTCCTTCGAATTGCTCAAGTTGTATCCATGTATATCTGTGCAGCAATGCTAAGCAAGACAGAATTGGGGCTTTGTGTGGCTTTGTTCAAGGGGTCTGATCATAGGCTAAAACAGGTCTAATCATAATTTTTATATTATATATATATTATTTACTTGTATAGATTTGTATATTATAATTATATAAAATAATTAGAAAATCAGCAATGAAGTAATATATTACTTATAGATTATAATTATATAAAATAATTCTAAAATTAAATGATAATAATAAGCATTCATGGAGCACTTTCAGGTTTGCAAAGAGCTTTACATGCATTAGCCCCTTTGAAGGGAAGCAGAGAGGATGGGGAGAGAAGTGAGAGGGAGTGGGTGAAGACAAATGTGGTAGAGCCAAAGAAAGAACTAAAAGGAAGACAAGTAGTGGGAGGCACTGGGAGGAAGCCATCCGGGAGGATGGAGAAGAGGGCACTGAGGCCGTGTCCTGAAATGAGCTGGGTAGAGAAGTCATTCCTAGTGGTCCTGGGTGCTGTCTACATAGCAGCATAAGCAAGCCTGGTGTTCTTGGCAAGGTTTTAGAAGATGGGATGAAAGACAATTGGTTTGTTTGAAGGTATCACAAGCCTCTCTGTTTTAGGGGTTTCATCAGCCCCTGCTTATTATACATAAATATGCCATCTTTGATGCTCATGGTGTGCTCTATTGGCACATTAAAATGGAAAAAGAGATCTTCCAAAGTCTGCAGGTTTAGTTAGAGTATTAATTTCCTACTTCTCTAACAACAAGGTCCATCACACCGTTTTTAACAAAGGAAATTGAATGACTCTGATATGATTTGCTCATCCCAAGTCATTGTGGCTATGATTCAGCATCTTCCTTTCTTTGAGATATTTGCAAATTGCCCGATAGTTTCTCCTCAGCAATGGGACTTCAGCAGATGAGCCTATAATTTTGACTAAGCATTTCCCTCTCCTTTTAAAAAGGCACCAACTACACCTTCTCACTTTGCTCGTGTCAGGGCCTTTTCCTGGGCTGAAAAGGCTTTGCAGAGAAGATCCTGATTGCTCTCCACCCACATCCACTAACTCTGTTTTTACCCCTTGGTGCCATCATGGCCTAATCCAAATGCATGTGGCTCTAGAAATATATTTTTTCACTACTTTCTATCTTCTTATCATTCTTTCCTATTTAACTAGGTGGTATGTGGTTTGGCGACCAAAACTTTCCAGCAATGACTGAATTTCGAAAGCAGAAAAGTGTCTTTTAAAAAATGGAAACCACCTATTAGTAATTGCTTCTATTTTTGCTTCTATTTTTTGGTGAAGTGGAATGGACCACACCAAATCTCTGATTTCACTGAAATAGTAAAGATGCAGATGATGCAGATCAGCACTTACTCTGTAATTTACCACCTTAGAGAGGCGCCAGGTCACCGAGAGATTCAGTGATCTACCCAGATTCACACAGCCAGGGTATGTCAGATGCTCCTTGACTCTGAAGCTCTGTCATGCTGTCCTATGATCCCTTCTCTTATAATTAGGTGGCATATTATTTATTGGTAATTACCTTTGGTTAACAATCTTTTAAAATTCTATTTGGTGTGTGTCTTGTAAGAGGTCCTTTCCTTTTTATCCATGTTTCTCTTCCCTTGTTCGGTCTAGACTCTAGATCATCTCATACTCAACCCTTGACATCACTTTGGCTTTCTACTTTTTTTTTTGCTTTGTGGTGAGGCAATCAGGGTTAAGTGACTTGCCCAGGGTCACACAGCTAGTAAGTGTCAAGTATCTGAGGCTAGATTTGAACTCAGGTCATCCTGACTCCAAGGCTCGGGAGCTATCCACTGAGCCACCTAGCTGCCCCTCTACTTTTTCTTATTCTTTGTCTAGTCTGGGGTCAGCTACTATCTTTCTCCCTTTCTTAGTTCAGACTTTTGATAGCATCAGGGTGGGGAGCTCCCAATTTGGATCTTCCCTCTGCTGAAGCATTTCAGCAACTTGTCTATCAATTATCATCTTAGAGCTGCCTGGGGTCAATGGGAAGTTGAGTGACTTACCCAAGATCATACAACCATATGTGTTAGAGGTGGATCTTGAACCCAGATCTTTCCTACACTGAGGATGGCCAGGTCTCAACCTACCATGCTATACTGCCTCTCTTTTCTCTCCCTATCATTTATATAACAGGACTTTCTTCAGGCTTATGTCTTTATTTTTTCTCTCTCTTTTTTTATGGGGATATATGATCTTCAGACAACTTTAAAAACATTCCATTATGACTTACAAGACTAATGGATTAAGTAGAATAGACTTCTAGCTTGAATCATAAATTATGAAAATAATTTTAAAATAAAACATTTAAAGATATAAAAAAAATAAACCATTGAGATGGGAGAAGCAGGCCATGAATCAGTTTACTTCTTATATTTGGCTATACAGATATGCTTATCTTTGGGCACTAGTATTTCCTAAAAGCGCTGGTTTTCTAATCATTGGTTTTCTTTTTCTTATGAAAGTCACATGACACTCTACATGGATTGCACAATTCACCTTCTAATACTGAGTATTTTAAAATATTGATTTAGGGGGCAGCAAGCTATTCTCAGATAAACTGTTAGTAGACCTCTAGCTTCCAAGTCTTTCAGAACCATGGAAGAGAAATTTAAGAACTTTCTCCATCAACACATTTCCCTTTCACTCAAAAGAAATATTTTACAATATAACTTTGCATTCCATTCATGAGCACCAAAAATGCCTTGCAAAGAATGCCCCTTTTTCCAAGAAAAGTTTGCTACTTATAATATAGTCAGAACATGCCATGCCAGATTGCAATCCTCGGGACCACCAAATCATGCTTGCCCAACTCAACATCTCTCATTAACATTTTAACTTGATTTCCATTAAACAGTGGTAAGAGTGGGTACAAAAGAAGTTGCATTTTGGTATTTGCCCTTACTAGGAGGGAGGGGAAGAATGGGGGTGATTATTTCATCTAAACCTATTTCCTCAGAGTATCATAGACTGTTCCTTCTTCATCTTCAATTTTGGTTCATAGGAAGGAAGCCGAGAGATCTCTGAATCACAGATTTAGAGCTCAGAGGACTCAGGGGGCATATTTCCAACCCCATCATTTTACAGAGAAGAAAACTGAGGTGGAGAGATGCCCTACAACTTGCCTCAGGTCACAGACATAGTAACAGGCAAAACCAGGATTCAAAGGCAGGTACTCTGGACCCAAATGCAATGATCCCATCATACATGCATATGTTGTTATTCCCTCCCCCACTTCCAACAGAATATAAGTTCCCTCAAGACAGAGAGACTATTTATTTCTGTCTCTGCATCTCCAGTACCTAGCCCAGAGTCTGTCCATTCCTGGGTGCTTTATAAATCCTTGAAGATTGAAAATCACATGGTCTCCATTTCTAAGGATCAGGAACTTATTAGAAGAACATAAACTCACATAGAAGAGAAAGTTTGTTGAGTTAAGAATGTTTGTTGAACTGAAGTGAGATATCCCCTCTGCCATCAATCATTCCATTAAGAAACAAAACACTCTAGTGAAAATAAAATGGCCTTCCAACAAACTCTGAGTACCTGTCTAGACTATAATCTTTTAGGTTTATGAAGTTTCTGGATGTTGGTTAAATTTCAGGGATAGCATATGTTAAAGATCCCATAGCTGTTTCCAGCTGTGCTTTCAAAGCATCTCAAATAGGCAGACTTAGTAATTTTAAAGAAGAGGGTGCTGAGGGCTGAGGAATGAGGGAAAATTGAAGATTTTCAGAGATCTTCACCCCTGAACCCAAGCAGGGTCAGAGTGCAGATCTTTCAATGAGAGAGAGAGATGCAGTTAATACAGGTGTTGAAGCTTTCACAGATTTACTTGGTTAGGGATAGATATGGTAGCATATTCCATTATGAGAGAGAGAGAGACAGAGAGAGAGAGAGAGAGAACAGAAGAAGAGAAAAGAGGGAGAAAGAAAAAGGAAGACAGAAATACAAGGGAAGAGAGAAAAGGAGGAGGAGGAAAGAAAGGTGAGGGGAAAGAAGAGAGAGAAGAGAAGAGAGAAAGGGGGGGCTGGGGAGAGAAAGAGAGAGAGAGAGAGAGAGAGAGAGAGAGAAGAGAGAGAGAGAGAGAGAGAGAGAGAGAGAGAGAGAGAGAGAGAGAGAGAGAGAACACATAGATATACTTTACCATCCCCTGGAATGATGCGTAGGGTAACCGTATTTCCAGCTTCCTTGATTAAGTTGACAATGTCTGAGTGGGATTTGTTGGTGATGGCACATCCATTCACGGCCAAGATCCGGTCTCCTACTTTCAGTTTGCCACAGCGGTCAGCAGGACTCCCCTCAATTATCCGACCTATTTTGTGGGGCATGGCCACACATGCATTTCCTGCTTTTGTAGTGAGTTTTTAATTTGTAAAAAATTATGTGGGAACACAGTGAAGGGAAGAGGAGAAAAAGGATTGAAAAGGGAAAGAGAAGGTTAAGGGTTAATCAATTAAAGCATTAAGCAAATGTTATTAAAGGAAAGTTTTGCACTGATGGGTCAAAACATTGGCGATTCCATGGCATGGAGAGCCAGTACAACCATGTTAATGCTGCCACTTACATCGAGTCCTCTGGCTAATGATGGAGAGGGGGTAGACCCCCTTTCCTCCTTAATTTGACTTGCAACTGTAGAATAACTAGCAATTACTTAAATACTTGACAGTCCAAAAATCACAGGCTACTGGCTCACTTATGGACTATGAATGGGAGGGAGAGTTGCAACTGAATTTTCTCACTCTCTGTGTCACTGTCACGTTTCCTCCCTCCATTCTGGCCAGATGCTATCCAAGATTCTGCCAATGTTTTGTTCTTTCTCCATTTAGAAAGATCATCACTCTATGCCTGACATGAAACCAGCACCACAAAGATCCACTCTGCAAATGCCACATGGATTAAGGGGCAAAAATTCTGCCTTGAAGGTAGCATTAGGCCATGCTACCATGCCTGACTTTGGTGGGACTTCTTACAAATGACCTCTGTTCACTCATCTCACCTTTTAGGGAAGGCTCCATTTGGCTAAACAGCTCTAAAGTTTTCTTCTTTCCCCAACCAAAGGGGGTAAAAATAAATGTGGAAATCTAACATCCAACTTAAGGGCATGCATAAAGAGTAATATTTGTACGGGCTCAATGCTGGGCTGACCCTCTTCCTGTAATCAAAGGTTTTTGACTTTCTTGGAGATTGTCTTTTTCAGCAAAAGAAAATACATATTTTAAGTGTGAGGGGTATTTTGCGTTGGGAAAGGCTTTTCAGTCAAACATAGCCAACTGATTCAATGATAAACTGAGACCTGGGAAAGACCTTAATTTAGAAAGGCCAAGGTCACCCATTGCATCCTGGGCCATGGCCAGTTTTTCTGATCTATGTCTTGCCACTGGACTTCGATGACTCTGGAGGGGACAGTGAGGCTGATGACTGTGTGCAGCTCTGCCTCATTTAAATCTGAATCATCCACAAGTCAAGACATCACCCTTGTGATGTCAACGGTCCTCTTTGAGAAGGAAGGACAAACGAGAACAAGCCAATTGATTGAGAGGTGAAACTGTAGATGTGGGGCATAAAATAGCACCAGAACGTAAGCTTTGTAAGGGCATGGATTGTCTTGAATTTGTCTTTGAACCTCCAGTGATTAGTGGCCTGGCACTCAGAAGCACTTCATAAATGCTTGAGTAATGGTGAATAAAAAAAAATGGGTCTAGCTGTATCCCATGGATTTTCAAAGAGGGCTTTGCCTAGACATAGTTTAAGGAATTTATTTTGCTGGTATCTTTAAAGGTATTCCATCAATCGAGCCCTTCCCTGTAAAAGGTGGAAAGGTTATTGAGAGAACAATAAGGTCAAGGGAACAGACATCCCCAGTGCCTATCACAATGGCTGGCACGTAGTAGGTGCTTGCTGGTTGACTACTTTCATCATAATGGAAATGAATGGATATGTGTAAATTCACATTCAAAAATCTTTGAATGTCAGCAAGAACAGCCTGTGTTCATGTCACGGGATGGAAAAACACCAGAATCACGATGTCCACCAGAAAAAGACAAGTAGCACCCCCTTCCTTCCTGGCTCAAAGTCAAGGTCTGGAAGTTCCAAAGATTATCCATAGGGGGAAGCTCTAAACCAGCAGGGGCAGGGGTGGATATGGTGAGCGTGGCACAGCTGAGGATAAGCTTCTCATGCAAAGCATTAGGGAAAGTTTGATTTACTCATTGCAGTAGTCACAGGAGAAGAGTTTTGGTCAAAGCACATCAGTGAAGAAATCCAATAGTCATCATAATAGAACATGTTGCCTGCTTGCCAGCCTCTAGACATGGCCTCTTACTTCTGCCTCTAAGGCAGACAGAAATATTTTATAATCCTGAGACCTTTATAGCGCATATGGGGAAAAATACATTATGGGCAGGACTTTCTAGGAGAAAGTCAATGGAGGCACGTTTCCCAACTGGACTCATTTGGAGTGTTTGCTTCCGAAGGATGGGACCTAAATTCCCAGAAGGGACTGCCCCTCTTCCCAACTCAGCAAAATGTCCCAACTCTGACTAGGAGTGCTGAGACCCTCAGGGGTTTCCTCCCTGCCCCAACTTCTATATCATATAATAATAATAATAATTAATAATAATAATAATGATATCAATATCATTATTAATTAGAACTAACATTTAGTTAATACATTATGGTTGGCAAAGTGCTTCATACGTTATCTGTAGCAGACAAGAGACTCTCACTGTCCACCCTGGACAGGAGACACACGGCTTCCCCTTCTCCTCCTCCACACGTGGTCCCACTCTCCCCACCTCCAAACAAAATTAGTAAGCAAAAAGTTGAAGGGGAGAGAGAGATTATCATACTGACATGAGCTTTCTGGTTGACTGGCTGACACACATCCACTATCCCCCCCCACCGATGCACTTGACCATGGAATTGCATACTTATGGGCTCCAATCAGATTTTTTTTTAATGCCATAGAACATTCTGTGGCCAGATTATTTTAGGAAATGGTGATCTTGACACCTTGAATGTACTTTTTATTTATGAAGAATCTGAGCAATAAAAACCCTACTGTGAGTTCGAATCATTTATCCATAATATTGCACATGATTGCTTTTAAAGTAGTTAACCAAGTGCTGTTTGTAACACTGCATCATTAGTGCAAACACATGTGCGTACCTTGCTGACTCATCTGTTTAAGATGAGTTTAAAAAAAATAGTACGGTGAGGAAGCAGTGTGCTTAATTGGGTCAGGATGCTAAAGGTAGCACGGGGCAACCTTGTAACCTAGCACACACAGCTGGTGGTGGCTTTCCTCACTGCAGTCATCAGACACCATGGGCTGGGTATAGTAGACAGTCTAGTCCTTGGATAATCGACAATCAATATCAAATTGTCAGCAGCCTTTTTCCTACTCAGCATATAGAGCACCCTGCTCTCCCTTTGTTACTCCCCCCCAAGTCCTAATCAAGGTGGAAGCTCAGGAAACAGGAAGTGATCGAGCTGGAAGACACATTAGCTGGTACAAAATATTGGCAGTTCCAGGTTTATAGACAGCATGGGTTCCAAAAGTCATTTGTAAGTCATCTGTTCAGCACTCCAAATGCCTTTTCTAATTGAAATACCGTCTTTAAGGTTTCTAAGTAAGTCTACAAAAAAAATCCCCTATTTAACTCATAATATTCCTTAATTTTTTTTTTAATGACCTAGTGGGAAATCTTGGTGGAGAAACTATCTCTGCCAATGCAGATAGGCAGCTCATTTGTAAGTTAGAGTTTTATAGAGATGCCTAGGGTAATGAGACTAATTTGCCTGGGGTCACACAGCTAGTATGCATCAGAAGCAATATCTGAACCTAGATCTTCCTAAGTCTTCCTAACCCACTAGGCCAGGTTAGCTCTCCACTATATTATATTAATGGCTCTAGCAAACCTAATCCCTATGCGTGATGATGTTTCTGGCAATCTAAATTTGAAAGTGGTTTCAAGCACACTTCTTTCCCTCATCTCTGCCATCACACATTGGGAACAGAGATCATTCCAAATCTAAGCCATTGGCAGCAGCTATGTTGGCCTTGGATAGGGGGTCCTAGTATAGCTGAAAGGGTTGGTGATTGATGGGAATAGAGGCAGGGATTGGTGGAGGATCAAGGCTAGAGATAAGGACTCTAAAGAACTAGGGGGCTCGGGCCTCTTGGAATGATCAAATGATCACAGAGGTTCTCAAGGAATCTCAGAAGCCATCTCACCCAACCCTCTCATTTTAGAGATGCAGAAACAGGGGGCCAAAGAGGTTAACTTGGCTCATGGCCAAATAAGTGGTAAATACTGGAAAAGGGACTTGAATTCAGGGCCTCTGAGTCTAACCCAGATTCTGGATTCCACCATCCCACATTCTTTTCAGTGTAAATATTCAGAGACACTTCTCAAGTCTTCATAGCTTCCCCATCATCCCTTTTCTTTTCTTTGGTGAGCCCTAAGCATTAGCCCCCTTGGTTTTCTTTTTACTACAGTCCCTGACTTTTTTCAGTCAAGTTTCTCTCCTTCTCTGTCCCATTTTTAAAAAATAAAACACAATTTCCCGCCTTCTGATGGCAGGACTTTCCCAACCCCCTCATTTCTCCCTCTCCACTGGTGTTGTGATAGAATCAGACCTGAAGCAAGGTGAGAATCAAGGGTTTCTTGGGGGATGGGAGGAGGGAAGGACATCTGAGGGCCTAGGCAAGTACCTGCAGAGTAGGTAAGGGGAGAGAGACGGACAAGTAGTTTCACTGTTATCCAGAACCCCCAGATGAGGAAATGCAAAGGATCGCCTTTTCTGTGACTCATCTTAGAGAATTGCCTGGAGGGCAATAGGAGGTCAACTGACTTGCACAGAGTCCCACAGCCCATATGTGTCAGAGGTATGATTTGAACCCAGGTCCTTCCTGGCTCCTAGCTTTGCCCTCTCTATCCATTCCATCAGGCTCTCTCTCAAGAGAAAAGAGGACAGAGCAAATCTCAAGTGGTAGTACCAGGAAAGGAAGGGCAGTTCCCTGGTTCTTGGCTTTCTCTGACAGTCATTCTTTCTCTGAAAGGCACACACACACACCCTGATGACAGTCATAAGTGGTCAGGGGACCATTAGTTCTCTGGCATATTCTGCACCCCTGGTTTGCTCCACTCCACTAGTAAAGATTATCAAGAGTTAACTTAATGGGTGATTTCCCAGGAGGGGTCCCCTATGCCATGACAAGTCTGCCAGCTTCCAAATGTTCTACATCAAAGATCCTCTGTACTAACACATGGGTGGAGAAGAGGGGGCTGACTCTTCATAGCACAATGGTAACCCTTCGGGGAAGGGAAGGAGGAACTCAGGCCAGGGACCATTCTTACTCCTTATATTGCTATTGAGCATCACTGCTTGTCTCAGGGACACCTGGATCCCCCTGTGATGCTGTTACTAGTGATAAACCAGAATGGACATCACTATGGGCTTTCCCTGGACCAATGCCCAGAGACAGCCATCGCTCTGGAGGACGGCACCACACAAAGTACCGGTGCCCAGGTGTGTTCTTAGGAGGGGAACACCCCCTAAATGAACTCAATTCCCTGTTAAAAATGTCATTCCCTTCAACGAGGCTCTTCAATGGGCATTTTCTCCAACGATACTAGAGCTCAGCAGTAACAAGGAGTTTGCTCACTTGGTGCTTACCAAAAGTGGTCCCTGCCTCTGGCCTGCTCACGGAGGAGACGATGACAAATCCAAAGCCTTCGTTCTCCCCGCGGCGGATCTCCACATCGTAGGGCTGCAGCGCTGTGCTCACCACTCCGCTGCCCCCGCCCCCGCCGCTGCCAATCCCGCTGGTGCTGCCACTGCCCGAGCTCACGGTATTCAGAGAGTTCTGACTGCCCTGGGGAGTGCGCTTCTCCTCTGTTAGGGAAGCTGGCTGGTTGCTGCTGTGATGGGAAGATGCTGGGGAAGGGACCTCATTTTCTGCTTTGGGTACTGAAAAAACAAAGACAGAGATACTCCTGAGACACTGGCTTCCTTCCTTCCCTTCTCCTTTCCTTCTTCCCTTTTCCCTTCCTCCCTTCTTCCTTCCTTCCTTCCTTCCTTCCTTCCTTCCTTCCTTCCTTCCTTCCTTCCTTCCTTCCTTCCTTCCTTCCTTCCTTCCTTCCTTCCTTCCTTCCTTCCTATGTTATAGTGAGGATTCCTTTCCTAGATGGGTGGGATGAGAAGGTCTCCAAAGTCCCTTTCACCTCTCCAATTCTGTGGCTCTGTAATTTTATGGCAAGAGTACTAACAACTAGGGAAACCTGCAAAGGCTTCCAGTAGGAGGAATCTGAGAATCTCAAGAGCTGGAGGTGAGGACAGTCTGTGCACAAAGGGACAGAGAATATCACATGTCGGTAATGGCAATTAGTCCAGTTAGCCTAGCCTACAAGTGAAAGTGGGTTGAAGTAGACTAATGTGGAATAAGCCCTCCTCCTGTTCAATACTAATATAATCCAAAGATTAGGTGAATAGTGTTTCCTCCCACTCTCAACCTGGAACAACAGAAGATATGATGAAGCTTTGCTTACCAAGTATGGCCCCCTTTCATTGACAGGTAGCAAGGCATAAATGAAAAGACCTGAATTCAAATCCCATCCCAATCATTTACTAGCTATTTGACCCAGGCCAAGTCTAAACTTCTCACATTCCATTTCCTCATCTATAGAATGCAGACAACAGTAACCCTCATGAGACTGCCGCAGAGAAAAATAAGAGAATGTGTGTAAAATGCTCTGCAAATCTGAAATATTATAGAAGCATTCATTTGTCTATGGACTATTCCTCTTAATATTCACCCGTCTATAAGCCACAGAAGGAAACAGGAGGAGCCTCTGGTCTTCACACACGCTCTAAAACCATCTTTGTCCCCAGCTTAAAGTTTCTAACGAATTCCAGTCCATCTCTATGGACTGTCCGGTGCATAAGTCAAAACAGAAGTAGCTCAGATGGTCGGATGTGGCTGGGGGATGAATAACTCTTGGCATTACTGTCCAAAGGAGTCCTGCCCAAGGAAGGTGACCAAGGGAGAAGAGTCACTTTAGTCGTTCCTTAGAGACTTTCTCAGTGGCTCAGCAAGCCGAAGATCTTTAAGAAGCTAAGTTAATCCTGGAATCTTAAAAGCCCTTGACTGGCCCTAAGAGAGCAGGGTGGATTTACGTAAGACAGTTGTGCCTGTGCGGCACCTGGGAGATCTTTTGCCTCCCTCCCCTCCGAGATTTTAGGGGACGATTTCTCCGTCAGCGATAATCAGTCTCCCTCGAAGACTCTGCTGCTGTTCATAGTTCCCTCTATCCCTGACCAAGCGGCTGGGTGGCAAAGTGACAGGATATTAGATTTATTTGGCATTAGGATCATCATTCTTATGTTGCTTTTTTTAAAAAATAAATACATAAATACAGTTAAAAACAAATTAATTTGCACACATCATTGTGAATCTAAAAGTCCACAGTAACAGCACAGACAGGCAGAACAGAATAGTGGAAGCAGCAAAGGACTTTGAAGCAGGGGATGCAAGCTGACGGGCCTATAGTTCTAGAGACAGGGGGGCCTCGGGGGTCGTCTACTTCAACCTCCTTATTTCACAGATGAGGGAAAGGCAGTGAACTGATGCTCCCAAGGTCACAGCATCAGGAAGTAGCAAAGCCAGATTCGAACTCGGTTCCTTTGGACTCCGATTCAGCCTTCTTTCCCCGCTGTCTCTCAATTCCGACGCTTTTCAGTTACTCTGGGCACCTTTCTCCACACTTCAGCTTCCTCATCTGTCCCAAAAGGGCTGATAATATCTGCCCTGCCTGTTTCACTGGACTGTGAGGCAAGCAGTGTAAATCTCCAGGAACTATATAAATGCTAGTCATTATGATTATGTTGGGGCAGCGTATGACCTCATTCTTATTGCAAAAGGTCTGCAGAGGTTTTGAATAAGAATAACATTTTGGTCCAGAGAATGCCTTGCCTTCTCAATTTAAAATACCATTAATCCAACCCCCTAAATAGTAAATATACCAAATTTGGTCAATTAAACAAGAACAAAGAAGAAAACCATCTCGTCATTTTCAGGTGGCCTCTACCTGCTTTTCATCTGTCAAACTTCTAGCCAAAATTTAAGGAGTGAATCTGTCAGTATTAGAGTAAAACTCTTAGGTTCTAATAGGTTAGTGACACCACATCTTCCACAGAGGATCGTCGAATTGAGAACTGAAAAGGGTGCACAGATATCATGTGGTCTAATGACTCAATTTTACAGCTGGGGAAACTGAGGCCTGACTTGCCTAAAGTAGCTAATGGCATTCAGGATCTGAACTCAGGTCTTCTGACTTCAAACACAGTCTTCTTTCCACTACCCCAAAGTGGCACCCTACTAAAGATGCCAGGATGTCAGTTTCTCACTGGCAATGTCAGTTTTCTCCACTAAACACTTCCCAGTGAAAACGGAACTATGCCTGCGGCCATTCTGTCTACAGCGACGGCTGCTCATCTTGCCTTTGTTTGTGAACTGAGACACCCAAAGTACCGAAGACACCATTCTTTGATTTTCTTGTAAGGAAGGATGCTCCTCTTTGACAGCCGAGGCCAACGACGGGAGGAGTCTGTAATGTGGCTGTGAGCTTCTCTCCCGTGGCCTTATTTTTCATTTTACTTTGACTTCCAATTTCATGCTGCATTCTTTTCTGACTTTCAAGATGACCTTCAAAGCCCACTTAACACCTCCTTCTGCAGAGAATTAACATGACATGAAGAGGATGACTAAGTAGTGTCAGTCAATATGGGGGCATGGGAAATACGTATGCCACTAGCCTTCTCCCTCTGTAGAAAATGCACTAGAGTCACGTAAAAGTACTTCTACATGACTGCAGTTTTGCAGAAGTGTAGGAAAGCAAACCATCTGGAAATTCTAAGCTTGATCAAATTTGCAAACATTTGCTAAAATAGATGCTTGAGGAGGCAGATATGAGAAAAAGGGCTGTTTCTTTTCCTTTTGAAGAAAATGAGAATGCAGGAGAGTGCCAGTGAATGCTACCAACGTCCAGCCTCTGGTATTTGCAACTCACCCGCGTAGACCACTTTACGCCGCACAGTGAGGTTGACATGGCCTTGCTTGGCAGCTTGTTGCATAAGTTGGACCACGAGCTGGTGAGATTTTCCGATCACGGGTGTCCCGTCAACACAGATTAGCTCATCTCCAGACCTGAGGCGACCGTCTGCGTCAGCCGCACCCAGCGGTACGATGTGACCGATATAAATCTGTTATGGGATGAGGGAATGGATGGAATGTCAGCCAGCAAGAAGGTGACAAATCAGCTAGATTACCAGATGCCCTGCACACAGTAGGTCCTTAATAAATATCTGTTGAATGGAACTGATGAACAGGTTTGATGGAAGGGCTGGTGGTATTTACACTGTTGGATGCTAAGCCTCAATCAAGTCACCCAAATTTTCTAAGCCTGTTTCCTGATCTGTCAAATAAGGTTGGAGTAAATGACCTTTAAGGTCCCTTCCAACTCTTAAACACTCTACAATTATATGAATAATATAAAGAATAACTAGATCTCCTGCTTTCTTCCTTTTCTTATCTCAGAACCATAACATATATTCCCCCCTCATCAACTCCAAGACACCTCTTTTCATTTAGTCTGGTGAAAACTTCTTTCATCACAAAAGGGAATTGGTGCCTTTTGGACCACTCCATTTCCTGATCTCAAAGCCCTCCCTTGAATATCTCTGTCCTAAGTTTTTACAGTTATAATACATTGTTAACTTTTATGGTAAACTCCTTAAAGTCAGTTGTCTTACTCCTTCTCTCCCACACACAGAGTTTACTTGGTAAATAATGCCAACTTAGTGACAGTATTTTTGTTCGCTTTCATTAGGGCATCAATCCACCCATCGATGACTACTCTGACTTTACCTCATTTCCCATCTTTGTTGAAGGCGACTTCTTTGGGCTCAGTCCCTAGAATTTTACAGCTACTATTTCCCCTGTATTTATGATGCCCAGGAAGGAAGTGCAACCTTCTCCAATGACCACAGGAACTTTTCCAACCTAACAAATAACTAATCCACCCCTCACATTGAAACCATAACAAAAGATATGGAACCAGAGTAATGAAAGTCTAGTGATCTCTCCATGCATGTTGCAGACTAACATGAGATCTTGGAGGGAATGGTGACAAAACACCCACCATGCCAAGACACACTTACAGGCTCTCCAGGTTCATTTCCACCTAGAATCCTAAAGCCAAATCCTGTTTCTTTTCTCCACAGGAAGATATCTTGTTCTTGGAAATCTGGGACTACAGAGAAAGAGAAAGAGAAAAGGAAGGGAAGAAGGCAGAAGGAGAGGGAAAAGGAGAGGGAAGGGGGAGAGTGAGGAGAGGGGGGGAGGGAGGGAGGGAGTGGGGGGAGGGGGAGAGAGAGAGAGAGAGAGAGAGAGAGAGAGAGAGAGAGACAGAGAGAGAGAGACAGAGAGACAGAGAGAGAGAGAGAGAGAGAGAGAGAGAGAGAGAGAGAGAGAGAGAGAGAGAGAGAGAGAGAGAGAGAGAGAGAAGAGGGAGATTATTTACACTGATGCTTTTCAGTCACTTCTCAATTTTCCCCTATCCAAAGGTGAATAAAATTACATGACTAATAAGGATGCCACTTGAATAGATTAAAGGTTGGCAATGCAGAAGCAGAAGAGAAATGGAGTGAGTGTGAATCACTGAAGGCTTATGGATGAATGTGGACCTTGCTCATCTCCTTTTTTAATGGATGGGTCTGAGGCAGATATTCACAATCAAACTCAAACAAATATTTCTCTGCAAAGCTCTTATTCTGCCTCGATTCTTTTACTCAGCACACTCTCTCTCTGAAGTCAGTATTGCTGGGAAGAGGGTGAGGGGATCATTAAATCTTTAGCTACTGAGAGTCGGCTATAATTTAAAAGAAGTGTATCAAATGGAAGTCAGAGTACCCTGTAAAGTCCTAATTAATGCATTTAAAATGCTATACTGGTTTTTTATTACCTATTACCAATGGTGTTTTACAGTTCAGAAGCTAGCCAAAGGATTCACCTTCTGATAAGAAAGAGTGCTAGATTATTAGAAACCCCCCCCCAAAAAAAATCCCAAACAAATATGGAAATACTCTTTTCCATATGCAATCAAGGGCCATTTATGTCAAAATCTGTATTCGGCTATGGTCACTTTTGCAAAGAAAATGGATTATTGGACTTAGTGAGAGATGCTAAAAACATTATCATTGAGCTCCTGCTGGATAAGATACAGATGTCCTCTGAAATCCTGGGAAGCGATGGAACTCCAACCACAACACAAGCATCAAATCTAAAAGTTGCATTGAAGTACAATGAAACCAACCCTCTGGTTAGTGATTTGCATGTCTGTCATGGTCTCTGCTCCAATTCGTCAGGTCAACCTTGAATGAGTAGAAGCAGCATCACCATTTAGCGCTAATGATGTTTTTAATCCCACCACTAACAACCAGTAATGACAGAGGGTGGGAGAAGGGTGGAGCGAGAAGGTGTTAAATCCTTTGGTTCAGGGAAATCAGCTTCCACACAATAAAACTGCCTTAACCAAAGGAATGATGGAACCCTATTTCAATGGATTTGTTATTTCATTTCTTTAAAGCATTCATAGCAAGCCATGTAGTCTACAGAATAAGGCTTTTTTGGGGCAGTGGGTGGAGGGAGTACCAGTTTATTGTAGTGAAACTCCAAGAGGATCTATTGATTTCTATCGATCTATCTAAATATATACATATATCAGGAAATACATACACACACACACACACATATATATATAAAATATATATACATGTATGTATACACATGTGTGTGCAGATGTCTGTTTGTTTATCTATCTATACCTTTCTTTCTCTCCAGATATCCGTACACACACACACACACACACACACACACACCCCCTGGATATTGTTAAGCTATTTTAATTAATTGAATTGCATGCCATAGGTATTTGCAGTCCTGGCAATTTCAATCTGGTCCTTTCTAAGTCTGTGAGTTGTGGGGGGTGAGAGGAGGAGGCTCTGGAGAGCAGGGAGAAGGTGGCTGAATCTTTAAATTGGTTTTAGATGTTCCCTTTTCAATGACTCACCATAGAATTTAAAATAAAATATGAATTTGGAAGGCAGATGAGTGAATACTAAGTCATAGGTGTTCAGATCTGAAATTTTTGCCTGAGCCATCATAATAACAAGGATTTACCTGTGTTCTCATTTTTAAAAAAATGCTTTCTTATTTTAATTGCCAGGGCTAAGCTAGAAACCTCCAAGAAATGTAAACTGAAGCTACAGCATGAGACTGTTACAAACATAATTAGAGAATAATATCATCCTAAGCATGCCAAGATGACAGTAATATTTTTACATTCACATTAGCTCATTGGGATATTTGTGGTAATAGCCTAGTTTTGACAACAGATTAAGAAGAGGTGCATCTTTTTGCTTTATGAATATAACCAAAGTATACCATGGAAGATTTCTAGCACATTGCTGGGTTTCTGGAAAAGATCTGGCTAAACTCTTCTGAGGTCAAGGTTCATCTGCAAGATAGACATGGATTTCTGCAGAGACCTTCAGCCAGGACCCATATTCTTGGTGTCTTTTAACACATACTCATTTGGCCACGTTGTTAAGACACTAAATGTGGCAAATACTTTGACTAGCGCTTGTCATGAAAGAACTGGATGGCATGTTATGAGAAGCAGAGACCTTGGCTTACCATGTGATTTAGACCAGAGCAATAAAAAGGTTGTTCATTGCTGAAAAACCTTAACTGAAAAAGGTAAGTTTGCGTAAAAAAAAAATCAACCTTTTGGTGAAACAGGAAACGCTTAAATGATAACAGGGATGGCAAACACCGAGAACAGAGACACAGAACAAACACGTACACAATACACTGGGGTACAGAGACTCATTGTCAAGTTATCTTTCAGGGCTTTTTCCATAGCACGAACTCCCCAATGTACAGGAGGGAGCCAATTAGCAAGTGACTCTTCAAACTTGTGTTGCCAACACTCCTACCCTACAGACTCACTTCCACCTAATAAGCGGATGTAGTAATGCATGTGCATATTTAGGGCAACCAATATCCAAGAATAATGAAAATTCATGCACTACAAGCGCCATATTGCATGAAAACATGGAGCTTTTTGGCATTTGCTTCTTTTCTTGAGTTCCCTGGGACTTAGACGCAGAAGGAACCTAAGAAATCATCTTGTCCTCATTTTACAGATGAGAACGAGTCCCAAAGAGATCACAGGATCACAGATTTAAAGCTGGAAGGGGCCCTACAGTTCCCTCTCACTCTATCCTAGAAGGAAACCGAGTCTCCAAGAAGTTAAATGATTATCTATGGCCACTCAACAGATGATAAGCAGCAACGATGAGGTTTTAAGTCTGATTCTCTGAATGTACAGCTGGTGCCCCTTTTTCTTTAATACATACGCTCACTCCTCTTCCAAGACAAAACATTGAGGACGAGGCCATCACCCAAATATCTTCTTCATTTTTTTTAAAGTTACAAAGAGGGTTTCCATGGACAAGTTCCCTCTCTAATCCATCTTATACGCTGCTACTGAATTGATTTTTCTAAAGAACAAGTCTGACCAGGTCATGCTCCTTTTGCATGAATTCCAGTGGCTCCCTAGGGCCTCCAGAATCAGACAGAAAATCCTGTTTGGCATTTCAAGTTCTTCACAACTGGGCCCTACACTCTTACTTCCAGACTTCTCGCACATGGCACCCCTCCTCACATCATAAAAGGCACTACATGTCCTGTTTTGGCGCTGGCTAGCCTCCATCCCTCGAATCCACTTCCTCTTCATTTCAGTTTCTCTGAATCCCATTTTCTTAAAAGCATAGCTCGACTACCACCTCTAGTGTGAGGTGTTTCCTAATCCCAATGGAGGCTACTACCTTTGCCCCTAAAATCACCTTGTATCTGCTTTGCATGTAGTTGTATGTACAGACGCCATCTCCCCAGGGTAGACTGTATGCTCTTTGTGAGGTTATTTTTTCTTTTATTTTGGTATCCTCAATGCCTGGTGTATAGTAGGTGCTTAGTAAATGCTTGTTAACTGAATGATTGAACTAACAGTCATGTCTCTTTTGACTGTGAAGTTTAGCCAGAGCTAATTAAGAGGTGAATCAAAGTTTTACATTTTTTTGAAGTCATTGTAGAAAACCCTCAACCCTGGAAAAAGCCATGAAAAGACTTCCTTTGGTAATGAGAAGGACTGGAATATCCAGCTCAGAGGGAGTAGCCCTGAGCAGGTGTTTCCATCCCTAGAGTTACGTGATACACTCACTGAATAGGACAGACAGATGTGCACCATATTGACAACTCTTGCCTCTGGTCTCTAATTTGTCAATGAGAGATCCGAGGCATATGTATCCCCTAATTACTTTTTGTGCTGTTTCCTTCCCATCTTTCCCCCCAGTTACACAGCTTCCTCCCCAATGCAACGTACTGGGAACATCAAACAGGATGCAAGACAATACAGAAATATAAATTTTCGACTTGTTCTTACTCTTACATTCTCCAAAATTCGTGGAATTGATTTCTCTCTCTCTTTCCCCCTTGCTCAATCCCGATGCAGGCGAAGGTGACATAGCTGTAATATTAATTTTACAATTTTGCAAAACTTAATGTTTCTGCTTTCTCTGGCATTCATTTTAATTTAATTTTAACTGATAAAGGGAACATGCAGTTCAATTTTCACATATAGCACGGTAAAGGTCATAGCTGCTTCAGATGTAAAATGACTTTGACGACATTGAATTAGTTTGAAAAGAAGTACTATAGTTTCTTTCATGGTGTATGGTGTGTGTGTGTGTATATATGTGTGTGTGTGTGTGTGTGTGTGTGTGTGTGTGTGTGTGTGTGTGTGTGTGTGTGTGTGTGTGTGTGTGTATTTTCTATAAGATGTAGAAGGCAGACAAAAACCACAATTTACAATTATACCATTAAGGATACCATGAAACAATGAAAGCCATCCTTATATTTTCATTAGGTTTCTTATATGACTGGCATATTCTAAATTTTATATTTCTAAATAATTTAATTTTAATCAATTCATGATTTTTCTAAGGTTTATCTATTTTTTTAAAAGTCTTTTAAAATAGACTTGTTTATAGATACACTTTCTTGGGAAATGTATTTTGCAAGGGGGTTTGTTTGTGTGTGTTGGAAGTATCTGTTAAGTGCAATCAAAATTCCTCAATATGTTAAATAATAGGTTTGTTTCATTTATACTTGGGTACACTCCCTGAGAGGAACACTGAGCTAGTGAAGAGAATCTCAAATCCCTTTTGGATGGGAATACTTTTTCAGCACTTGTACCAATGTCTCTTTTAGTGAATTCTTGACTGTTGAAATCCAAAGTCTAGTGTTGAAGATTTGGGCTGGTCTATAGTGATAGGTAACAGATGCAACAGACATTACAATATCTTACAGGAGTGAATTCAGCAATTCTGCACCTGTAGGCATGGATCTCCTGGGTCTGAGTGTTTTGTTAACATGAGGGTTTATAGCATTTTTCTTTCTAACTATTTTATCTCAAGGCAAAGTTTAAACACCAGACATTTGATATGTGCTGTTTTTCAAGTGCCATTAAAAACAAACAAACAAACAAACAAACAAAAAAGGTATATTTGTTTGAAATAGCCCCAATGTTATTTTCCAAGAGGAATTGAAGAAATCGGTATGCGATTAGAAATGAAGTCCAAATACTAAAGAGACAGCACATTTTTTCCAAAAAAGCTTTCAAAATTGCTTTATAGCGCTCATCTTTACTTTTAATTAAACATTTAAGCTCTTCAAACGGATTCATTAACATATCTGCAATTCAGATTAATTCATTCTGTCACTGCTGTTTTGACAGATGGCCATATGTAGGATATGGAATTTTGCAAAGCATCCAGGCCATGTGAGAAAATGTGATAGCAGATTGTGTTAATCTTCAAGCTAACTTTAATAATAAAATGAAACGGAAGAGGCATCTTACAAAATAAATTCTGAACAAAGAGAGGGATGATGTATTACAATGACTGCACTGTTTCTGCAATTATCTCATTTTATGTAGAGTGCTTTGCCCATTTTAAATGTCTGGGTTTTTTTTTGGGGGGGGGGCGGAATGGTCAAACCCAGGAGGCCCAGTGAATTCTAACCTGGGTCCATGATCAAAGTATGCTAGAAAGGGATAACAGATACAGAATCACGCTCCCTCAAGGTAACATTCCCCAAGTAGACTAGAAGCTTGTTGAAGACAGGGAATGTTTATCATTTAGTCTTTTTATCCAGTGTGCTGCACAAAGCATACCCTTCCTAAGTTTCCCTTGCCTTGGATCAGAAGATGAGATCCACAACTCTTCATTGGTAGGAATTTCTAAAATGGCAAAAAATATTCAATCTTGGAAACTGACTGACGGTCCTTATTCCAGTAATTACATCACACCATGAAACCTGAGCATCAATTAAGTTGTCATTGTCACCTGAAGATTTAGTCTCTGGTCATGATGTAAGAATGGAATGTTCTTTTTTTTTTTCTAACCATGCACTTTTTAATGGCTGCAAAGAAGGTGGACATTAGATTGGCAATGTTCATTCCAAAATGGAACCCTACTTACTGTCGCTGACACAAACTCAAGAGAAAAGGAAGCTATTAGTGACAAGGCCACACTAGTTTCTAAGAAAACCAATAAATAAGTCCTTAGATCCCAAGTTCTAATGGGAATGTCATTTCCAGATCATAGGCATCATAGACTTTGAGATGAGATCTTGCCTAAGAAAGCCATGTTATCTAGCCGACTCATTTTATAGAAGAAGAAACTGGGGATCAGAATTTACCCAGGTAGAAAGTGTTATGATTCAAACCTAGTCCTCAGACCCCCAAGTCCCGCACTCTTTCCAATACACTAGGCTAGGATTAAAAACAAAATGGTACTGCGGCTGTGAACTCTTAAGCAAGAATGAGCTGTCATCAATCTACTTGGCCCAATGCCAGCACTTCAGAGCACAATTATTTTTCTGGGTGGATCATATACTGATGCACATCCACACCTGTGTACTTTACAGACCAGGAATGAGGTCAGGGAAACAAGAGCTCTGTCTCAATTGAGGTAGAGCCATTGAACTGAAATGCACCTCTTGAAAAGAGGAGGTACAATTAGTGAGGAAACTGAAGTCGTGGTGAAATTACTACTCCTTAGACAATCTTTCCTCTAAGTGCTTTAGCTCAGTGCTGTCTGACCAAACACAGTAATCACTGGAAAGCTTTCTTGTACTGAAATCAAAGAGGAATCTCTTATCTTTGTCTGATGGTGGATATCTGAGCCCCCGACCTAAGAATATCAGCAGAGGGCAAATGCAGATGTTCAGTTTGGAAAAGAGAAGGCTCCAGGGGCAGGATGACAGTTAGGAAACCTATCGCCGTCTTTGAACATGTGAAGGGTAGTCACACAGAAGAAGGATTAGGCTTGTTTTGTCTGGCCCTATGGGGTAAAACCATTGGGTGGAAGTGGCAAGGAGGCAAATTGTTAACAAGTAGCACCATCAGAAAGTGGAAATGGTGGTGGGCTCGTCTTCATACAGAGGCTGTATGTCTACTTATTGGAAATGTTGTAATGGGGAGCCTTCTTTGATCGTGTATTTCACTTGGTGGTCCTTCCAATTCTAAAATTTCATGATTTTGACCTATTTTACTGGTACAACAGTAATAGTGAAAATCAAATACTGATTTTCTATTTGTCAAAGTCTGGGAAATAAAAAGAACTTGCATTTATATACAGTATTAAGGTCTAGAAGCCCATTTCTCTCCACTCTGAGATATAATAATTATAGGGATGGGAACTGCATCTATGATTGCATTGATATGGGAACTCAGCTCCCTTTACCAGTGGAGGTTGGCATCTTCTCTGCACCTTATAGACCCAGAGGATCTATAGGACCACACAGCTAAGAAATGTTTTAAGATAATCCCATATCTCCTGGCTCTCAGATCATCATTCTATCTACCCTTTGTCATCTTCTGTGTTAGTTTACTTTCCCCACATCCATCTACCTTCATATTCTTCTTAAGTTGCTACTAGTCCCAAGAACAGAAGTCTTAATGTCACAGTTGCACAAAGGCAATCCTGTGTATTTGGTAGGAAATTAAAAAGTCCCCAATCAACAGGTCAGTGGAAAGTTCCCAGAGCAATGCGATCAAAATGTCTGTGATGCAACTACTCAGCTTGCTTTGGGTAGACTGGACAGAGCCAAAATATCAGGTACCACCATGGATATAGAGTGTCCATTGCCATGGCTTGAGCTGGCTAGGGCAATTCTGTTTTCTTGGCCTTGGGCCTCAGTGGTATTCTCATGTTCTCCATCAAATTTTTACCACAGAGGAAATAATAGCATCTTCATTCTGGCCAACATCCTTCTTGACTTTGTAGTCTTAATTTGAGCTCTTCTGGATAAGAAAGGTCATTGAAATTTAAAACTGGTCACGATAAAAAGGGCCAAGGGAACGTATTTGTCCCCTGAAGGAGAAACTAGCAGGGAAGAGAATTCTGAGAGATCTACTCCTGACCCCCACACCCTGAAAGGCCACAGTTTTAAGATGATCTTGCCTTGCCAAATAGCCATATGGACATTTGGTCCCAAGAGCAAAGGAGCAAGTTACTCTTTGAGACAGGTCTAATCCCCTCATATCTTGATTCTTTTCTGGTTCCAGAGAAGACGAACATAAGCTCTGGAATGTCACCGTGAGCAAAGGAGACATACTCTACACACATTCAGATGGATGGAGCTGGGAAGCCTACTCATAGGCACTGTGCTTATGAAGAAATCTGCCTTCCCCTCCCAGGTCCACAGCCAAGCCCATTTCTCTAGGGACACTGTCCAAAAAGTGGCTCCTAGGATTTGGGTCCCCTCAGGGGCCATCTGATTCAACCCCCTCATCATATAGATGAGGAAACAAAGGTCCAGTGAGGTTCCAATTAGCCAAGATCACAAAGGCATTAAATGGCAGAGGCTGGATTTGAATCCAGATCCCCTGACTCTAAAGTGAGCAGTCCCCTCCATTTTTCTTATGAAGGAAAGAGAGCAATTCGTTTCTCTTCTTTTCCTTCATCCAACTACCCTTTAGCAAGGAACTAGGGAAGGATGTTAGCAGCATCCTCTCTTGTCTCAGATCTGTGACGTGACTTGCCATTACATGTTAGGGTGAGAATTCAGTCTCTTCTACTCACTTTAATCTGTCCTAACCATGCAAAACTTCCAGTTTCAAGAAGGAAACTAATTTAACAGCCCCTTCCCAGGCTTTTTAGGTCATCTTCTCATTCCTAACCAAAATGAATGTTTTTTCTGATTAATATTCTTTGCAAATTGCCTTGTCATGACAAGAGAAATTAGAGTTAGTCAGAAGAGCCTATGCCCTTGTTAAGAGCCCTATAGCATCTCCAGCATGTGAGCCTGCCTCCTTCCTGGTATACAGAGACAAGCTAAGGCCAAAGCGTCATGCCAAACACCCTTGTAAATAATGAAAGCAAAAGCTACTTACTGTAGCTATTGGTTTGGGGGATGATTAGAAGAATAGATAATGGCCTAAAATCTACTCGCATTTTGCAAAATCAAGAAGGCGCTAAGAAAGCATTTAATTTCTTCCCATTATCTTTGCAATCTAAGCCAATCACATTTACGTCCTATTGTATAGCAGAGCTACTGCACAAGAAGGGATTCTGAGCTCAGGGCACACCGTAATTTCCACTGAAGAAGGAATTAATGAGACAGCATCTCTTATCTTCAGGTTCTTTTAACTGAAGGGGGGAAAATCCATTTTCATCCAGGCTCTTTTTTCTTTTTTTGAGCATCATCAATTCCTCTCTCTCTTTTGAACAGAGACATAATTGAGTCCTTAAAAACGTCCAGCAGATTTGACTTGCTGATCTTGTCAGCATTCTCCTCCATACCTAATTTACATGCATCCATTTAGCAAACCGAAAAGCCTATATTTTCAATAAACATTGGAGAGAGGGAAGTCGGGGCCCTGGGCAGCCAAGGAAGAGCCCTACTGCTGCCAGAATCACAAACAGAAGGATCTATCCAGTACTCACGTCGGCTTTCATACATGCTCCTGGACTGAGCCCAGATTTTGAAGGGATCTGGCTTTTTCTGTCCAGAGCTGTCTATTTGGTCTGCTGCTGGGGCCTCAGCAGGAGGGAAGTCAGGCAGCGCCTGTGTACTATGGCTGGGGGAAGCTGTGTGTCCGCTCCGGTGGCTGGAGACGCTATGCTGAGAGCTGTTTTGGCTATCTTTCCTCTCCAGTGGTTGCTGTCAGAAAGGGAAAGAACAGAGGGTTATTATCGGTCTTCCAAGTGGGTGTTCGCCCATCATTTTCTCTTTGTTCAGCATTTCTGCATACACATATATAAATACATAAACAACATTCTGGCTCCCACCTTGCTCCAGTTATAATGCTGAGTGTAGATAAATCCCCTGGCAATGGGCAAACTGAGGGATGGGCAGGAAATATGGAAAGGAGAGGATCACAAAACTTACTATGGCAGAAAACAAATCAAATTTTCATTAGAGCTTTCTTAGACACCATGAAAGTTTGGAAAGAGAGACATCTGTTTTAATATTATTACTTTGGAGACAATAAGCTGCCAAAAAATATCATGAATGTTTTAAATTTAAGCCTGTCAAATCTGGGGGAAATACAACCAGGGCTCCAGCTGGACCCTCAGATCGTTTTCACTCCTGCATTTAGTTAAAAACACTTGCCTACATCCTTCCCCCTTCTATATGAATAGAGATAGGTACTAGACCTGCCATTTCTTTGGTAGAGGGATAATGAAAATCCCTCTACTCATGAAAGTGGTATCTTCTCTGAAACTCTTGGTTTCAGAGTTGGTATCAACTCTGACAAGCATTTATTAAGCACCCACTAAGTACCAGGAACTGTGCTAAGTGCTAGGGATCAAAGAAAAGGCAAAAAACAGTCTGTGTTCACCTGGATTTCCCAGTCTAATGAGGCAGAAAACATGTAAACAAGATAAAGACAGAATAAATAGGAAATCATCACAGAGGGAAGAGTGGAAAAGGTGGGATTGTGGAACCTGAAGGAAGCCTAGGGAGCCAGGCGACAGAGATGAGATTACACGAACTGCCCAGGATCACATTTCCAGTTGAAAAGACAGCTCCCTTTTTCTAGTTCTGAGGCCAGCTCTCTATTCACTATAGTATACTGCCTCTACATTTATGATGCTGGAAAGCCTTTAAGGATGCACATCAGGACTTTAACTATGGATAGGTATAAAACAGACACACTATGTGCAGCAGATTTCCCCCACCACAACACAAGGGCCACAGAGCAGAGGTTTTATTTTGCCCTCCTATTCCTAGAGCTTAGAACATAGTAGGCACTTTAAAAAGGCTACTGAGTTGAATGGAATTGACTAACCCCAGGCAGCAGGATGTAATTACTGGAACTGATGAAAATCAAGAAAAGGGGAAGTAGTAATAACAGGGATGTTTTTTCCTAATCAATTAGGCTGGCATGAAATTTCACCTACCAATATCCTACCCTTCAACCAAAATGAAACCTCACGTCCTCATTTGCTTTGCTTAAGGGGATTTCAACTCAGTTTGTCGAATATATGATGTACAATTACTGTTATAGAAGTCAGAAGTACAAATGGGATTAAGGGAAGAGAGTTCTGCTTAAATTCCATTAGTGAGGAAATTCATTAAAGCCAAACCGGCAAAAGATGTATTTAGTCAAGGGCTTGCCCATTTTTAAGAAAAGCTCTTAACCTCAGAGGGAACAGGAAGAGGAGAGAGGGGGAAAGGGGGCATAGCAGAGTAGGGAAAAACACAGGAGACAGGTATTCATGCAACAAGCATTTATTACCCCCCACCCCCTCTAAATTACATTGAGGTTACTTGGTACTCAATTTATAGCGACTTTTCTGTGTATAATTGGGTGAGAGCTGGTTTTTAGTTTTGTCTTTATAGTATCTGGTGCACCGTAGGTGCTAAATAAATAATTACTGAGTGAATAAGTTAGAACTGTCTTGGTTCTTTTTCATAGTAAGGGAATCTTGGTAAATATACATGTGCAAAATGGTCATTATACTCGTCCCCTTCATGAATGGATCATTACTCTTGAACTGAAAGGAATCTCAGAGTCATCTAGTCTGACAAAGAGAGAAATGAGGCTCAAGAATCTACCCAGGATCAGACAGGATTCATAAGCAGCAAGGCCAGGACTGAAACCCAGGCTGTGTGATTCCAAGTTCATAATTCTTTCTTCTGTAGCACACAGCTCTGATCCTGCCTGTGACCTGGGTGACACTGGAAAATTCAATTTACCTGTCTGTAAAATGAGAGCTATACTCGATATCTAAATGGCTGCTCAGTTCTAACTCTATAATCCAATGCAAAACAAAATTAGAAAGATAAATGCCCAGTAAATGTGCATGAACCAACTAGAAAGTATTTGGGGATTAGCCGTGGTTCCATTTCCAGACTCATGGTTCCGGAACATTATAAAAAAAAAGTCCTTTGAATTAAGCAGCCTCATCATCAATATCCATCTTGCAGCACTGAGAAATTCTAGCAATTTGCCTTTCTTCTTCCATTCTTTTCCCTAGGAACACATACACACACACACACACACACACACACACACACACACACACACACACACACACACACACCCCCTCTGTCTCTCTCTCTTTCCCTCTCCTCTCTATCCTCTCTCCCTTTCTCTCATCTGTCCTCTTCCACATCTCTCTCTCTCTTTACTCTCTCTTCTTTCTCTGTCTCCTCTCCTCTCCTCTCTCTGTCCCTCTTTCCTCTCACTCTTTTCTCTGTCTGTTTGTCCGTCCATCTTCCCCCACCCCCATCCTCTCTCTCCTGTCCACGATGTTTGCCAAGGCTCTTTCTCTGCTTCCTTGGATCCTAATAGCTGACTAACACAAGAGGAAGGAAGAGAAACCATGAACCCATCAGATTATTTTCTGCATCCTGAGCCAGATGAAAAGCTCAATTCCATAAGCTAAAGAGTTTCTTGGGAGTAAACCCAATTTCAATAACAATAACAAGAGTAATAAGTGATATCGACATCCCCCTTCATGGTTTTCAAAGCCCTCTTCACTCATTATCTCACCTGAGCCTCACAGCATCTCTGTGAGGAATTCTATATCCATAGATTGGACAGGGCCATGGGATCCTGGCCTTAGGGTTGAAAGAGACCTCAGAAGGCATCTAGTTCAACTATTCCATTTTATAAATGAGAAAACTGAGGCCCAGGCAGATTAAGAGATTTGGCCAAGGACTCAGAAGAAGTGTCGGAGAAGGGGTTTGTAGATCCAGACACTCTCGCTCTTTTGCTCATATCATGTTAGTATTAGGCAACTGACCTGTCCGTGATCTCACAGTGAAGTGTCAGAGGTAACTTTCAAATCCAGGGCTTCCTTATTGAATCCACTCTCCCCACTATCCTACTTGAATATTTTCCTATATATTATAGTAGAAACTGGGACTTAGGGGAGTAAGCCATTTAATTGCTAAAGCCAGAATGTTTTGTGAGTCACTAAGATGCTAGCCTGTTGGATTTAAAAGCTAGAGAGAGAAGAAAGGGCTATATGGTGGAGGGTTATTAGGAAATGAGGGTGATACGAAAAAGCAAAAGAGATCAACAAAACTTAAATAAAAAAATAAAACCATTAGGAAAAATGAGAAAACATTCTGAGATAGAATCTAGTTCTTCCTAAAACTGCATGAAAAAACTAATCCTTTCTGCAATTTAATTCCATCAAAATGTTTTAGAGAAGGGGATGAAATCTGTCAATTACTGGAATATGGTCCTAACATGGCTCAGTTTGGCAGGGAGTAAGCAAAGCCCTGCTGCTATCTGATAACTGACCCATGAGAAGAAATCGATTCTCTCAGTCTCAGCCAGAGGCTCTTTTTCTCCATTTTTCCTACAAGATAGGTGTCTGACGGGGGTAGTGAGGTGGCACCATAGTACATAGAGGGCTAGGCTTCAAGTCAGGAAGACTCATCTTTGAGATGTGAAATCCAACCTCAGCCACATACTAGCTGTGTGACCCTGGGCAAGTCATGTAACCCTCTTTGCCTCAGTTTCCTCATCTGTAAAATGACCTGGAGAAGAAAATGGCAAACCACTCCAGTATCTTTGCCAAGAAAACTTCAGATGGGGTCACAGGGAGTCGGACACAACTGGCATAACTGAACGACAACAGTACCTACAACACAGTTGGTGTTTAATAAATGTTTACTGACCGATCGACTGGATCTGTGCTGAGTCTGACTCCTTGCATTACCAGTGATTGGCTGTGCCTGAGTTTCCAGAGCAGAACTAGCCATGACTGCCCTCTTAGCATCTCCTTCGGATATTCGGTAAGAATTTACATGGCCATGATTGAGCAGTCCTTGGCTTTCTAGGACACAGCAGCTACCTTTTATTTCCAGCTAGCTAGCACTGTGGATAGACTTGGAGTCAGGAAGACCTGGGTCAACTCCTGCCTCTGACATTAAGTTGTAAGAACATGGGCAAATTACTTAAACTCTCTCGGCTTTGGGTTTTTTTTGTCTGGAAAGTGTAGACGCACCAGCTGCCTCACAGGGCTGTTTTAAGAACCAAATGAGATGAATAAAGTTCATATCTCAAAAGACATAACATATGTCAAAGGTTCTGCAAAACTTTATGTATAAAATTACTATTTATTATTAGAATTATTAATACCAATTAAGGCTCCCATCCTTCTATACTTGTAAACAGGGTCATGGGGATTTATTCTCTCCCACACCCAAAATAGGCTCTTAACAGGGTATCTGATTCAAGAAGACTCTGGATGACGCCTGCTAACCACCTCTTGACAGAAAGGTGGTGGACTTAGGGTGCAGAAAGAGACATACAAATTTGGGGGCATGGTCAATGTGGAAATTAGTTTTGCTTGAGTTTACCTATTTATTAAATAGGTTTTCTTCCCCTCTCCTTCCACTCTAGGAAGTAGGAGAAAGAGAAAATAATTGCTTTTTGAAAATTAACATTTCATTTAAAATCAAGGAATGGCTGGTTGAGAAGCTACAGCTCTGTCCTGCCCTGACACTTCAGAAGCCCAACCTGTCTCAGTTTCAGAGAGAAATAACAGACAGGGGAGTCTAGTGCCATTTATCCAGCTGGGGCCCATGAAGAGTGAATTAATTCCAGAGTTAAGTAATGGTGCCAGATGCCTTGGGCTCATCTCGCTGTTCCTGTGTGTTGCAGTCAGGTTTTTTTCAAGAGCTGCCTGGGGTAT